ACTATGCTGAGACCTTAGAACTTATATCTCAAGGTAGGTTGCGGCATCTACGGGCTTCAGTAACCACTTAACACCAGGTGGGATGTGACCTTGTCCACCCGTCTAAGCAATTAAAAAAAAAAGAAGAATGTATTGTGCAGTTTGTTTCACAAATAAATAAATTAGAATGTTTACTAAAGAAATACATACATATGTGCGTACTGACTACAGTCTGGTGACGCCTACGCTAAATTTATTAGCAATAAGTAACATAGCCTTTTTACGAGTAGGTCAGATATGCGATGAAAACTGTATTTACATTTTTAGCCCGTTTTCACGAAAACCGTAAACAATTCGAAAAATGAAAATAGCAAATGCAAGGTCAACCCCTAAAAATGCATTGATTCATAAACAATTTAACAAAACCAGAATGCAGATGATCATGATTTTTTGTGATCTTCTGTTATTTATTTACATTCATAACAACAGTTACATGTTAATGTTTAATTAAAAGTTGTAAAAACGAATGTTTATTTCGAAATGAAATCTTTTTCACTGGCGGTAGGACCTCTTGTGAGTCCGCGCGGGTAGGTACCACCACCCTACTATTTCTGCCGTGAAGCAGTAATGCGTTTCGGTTTGAAGGCGGGGCAGCCGTTGCAACTATACTGAGATCTTAGAACTTACATCTCAAGGTGGGTGGCGCATTTACATTGTAGATGTCTATGGGCTCCAGTAACCACTCCAGTAACACCGGGTGGGCTGTGAGCTCGTCCACCCATCTAAGCAACAAAAAAAAATTGTGCGTTCCATAGACAAACATCGTATAATAAATTATTAACGGACCAAAAATCCTTTTCCTTTAAAACCTCGTACAAAGTTAATAGATCAAAGAAAAAAAATTGTATTGCCATTGGTCCTTGACTTGTGTGCAAATTTTCATGCAATTTTGCGCAGATTTTAATTTTTACTGAATGTTTTAGGCATTATTGCAATAAAATCTTGTGTTGCAATAGTCATATACAGATTTCTCGAATTAACTTTTATACTACATACTAAACATATATTACTAAAAAAAGTAGCTGTTTGCAGTGCGGATATGGTTTGAAACCTGGAAAAGGTTACCTTTCATCCCACTGCTAAGCAGGAGTCTTCGCCCGCGCTACATAAAGTTCAGGTGAAGCTGTGGGCGTAAAATAGATGCTCACGTCCATCTGATAAGAGCTTTTTAAAGGATTGGGTGAATAATAATACCAATATAATATTATTATTTTTAATTACTAGGATGGGTGGACGATCTCTCACCTGTTGTTAAGTGATTGCCGGAGCCCATAGACATCTACAACGTAAATCCCGCCACCTACCTTAAGACATGAGTTGTAAGGTCTTACTTTTAATAGTACAACGGCTGCCCCGCTCTTCAAACCGAAACGCATTACTGCTTCACGGCAGAAATAGGCGGGGCGGTGGTACCTACCCGTGCGGACTCACAAGACGTCCTACCACCAGTAATTACGCAAATTATAATATTGCGGGTTTGATTTTTATTACACGATGTTATTCCATCACCGTGGAAGTCAATCGTGAACATTTGTTAAGTACGTATTTCATTGGAAAAATTGATACCTGCCTGCGGGATTCGAACACCGTTGCATCGCTACATACCAATGCATCGGACGTCTTATCCTTTAAGCGACTTCATTATTTGCAATATAATCCATCAGATACATAATAATATATATAATAATATGGCAATAGCACAAACATCAACTTCCATAAATATGACGGAGCATCACTTGAGCATCGACTCGACCGATATGTCTGCTTTATATTTAGTTGTGTTCGTAAACGTCGAGACAAGATTTCAATGATGCTTTTGTTCTTTATTAAAAGAAAAAAAAACATCATTTGAGTCGACTATTATCAAAGCCATTTGTCAATCTGACTTTTGAACAATGATTGGTAAATCAGAAAAACGAATTATTGACTTTGTATTCCATTGGCAGTCACAAAACTCTTCGGAACGACATCTTAGATAAATAACAGGTTAACTATTAACCTTTATTTAATGCAGGTTTTGAACCGTATTCTTTGAAGGAGACGATTATATTCAAATCAATCAGTATTGACATATCAATAATTTTTTTTTGTCCAAATGCACAGATTGCCACCTTTGATAATAGACGACTCATTTGCTGAAAGCGATATCTATTCCACCTAGTACAACAATTTTGAATTTTTTGAAATTTTTAACCTATATGTCGCGTAGATTCAATTATTCGAATTGGTATTATTGTTTGCTTTAAAAAAAAAAACGGAATTTCCCTGAGAAAATACTAAGATATCTTGTCAAAATTTCTGTTTATTTAAGATTGCTTTAGATGTACGGCCGTTATCAGAGACCATGGACATAATAAAGTAAGTGCCATTACCCAGCTTGAGGCGAGGAGTCGAATCTTTAATTTTATTGTTCAACTCTTGTCTCTCCTATTAAACCGGAATCTCTGAATTCGCAACAGAATTAGGCACTGTGGTTATATCCATCCGTGTGGACTCATGATATGACCGTTAGTTACGGCAGTATGTTGCTATAAATAAATTTTAATAAATTTGAATTAAAAATAGTGTAAGAAAAAAAGATTTAATTGTCAAAAAGCGTGGGGTGCTTTTCAGAATATTATCAAAACTAGTGGTCGCCCGGTAGTCGAAATTAATTGAAATTAATTTAAATTAAAAGTTTGTACACTATTATGATTCTAATTTCAACGACTATTATATTTCTATAATCACAAATTTCGCCAAGACTACACTATAGAAAAATATTAATTTTATTTTTATTTATCGTATGGCATTCGTTTACACTGCGTGGTTATAACTTAAATTTACAGTTTGTGAAATAATCGATAGTTTCTTCTGTTACATTTTTGAGATCTTCCACTTGGCCTGCGAATTTCGTTAGTGGGCATTCCATGAGAATGTGACGTATAGTTTGCTCTGGGCATCCGCATTCACAACTTTCGTTTTCCGTCCAGCCCCATTAATAAAGACAAACAATATTTAATCTATTCTTAATTTGACCACAGACGTCAAGAACGTCAATGCATGCGTGTGTGCGTCAAATACATGGTATGTAGTGTGTGTAATGTATTTTTTAGGATTAATTAAAAAAAAATTAACATTCTGCACTCCTTCTCTATATTCTCTATAAGTGTGGTAAATTTCATACTCCTCCGTCGGCGCAATTTTCGTAAAAAGGTATACAAAGTTTTTCCTTCGCGTATTAATATATAGATAGCCCTTCTACTCATATCTGTTCATAAAATATTTATAACTACTGATACCATGCACCCCACGCTTTTTTTACAGTAAAATATTTTTTTCTTACACTATTTTCCATTCAAATTTATTAAAAATTATGTTCTATTTTTTAGTTGGATTTTCTATAAAAGCGTGTTTTGTTAGTTTTTGTAAACTATTCTTTGTTTTTCATTTTTTAGTTGAATTTCAATTCTTTCATTATTTTTTTTAAAATATTGAACATCGGTCTTTCATAAGTATTTATACCAAATTTCGAGTTAATCCGACGTTTTGAAGGGGGTCAAAATCATGTTAAAAGATTCCGTTACATACTAACATACATACGTGTGAAGCTAATAAAAGCGTATTAAAAACGAAGAGCGCTGCTACCTGTTCTCCGATTAATGCCCCAGTGAACCTTTTTTTATTGCTTAGATGGGCGGACAAGCTCTCGGCCCACCTGATGTTAAGTGGTTACCGGATCACATAGACATCTACGACGTAAATGCCGCTACTGGGCTGAGAGCTCGTCCATCCATCTAAGCAATAAAAAAATAAATAAAAAAAACCTACCTCGAGACATAAGTTCAAGGTCCCAGTTTTATTACCCATCGAACAGAATCATATTGCTGCTTCACGGCAGAAATAGGGAGGGTGGTGATACCTACCCGTGCGGACTCACAAGACATCCTACTACCTTTGACGACACCTGCGCTATAAGACGGAATGGTGCCATTCAAAGCCGAGATAACCCAAATTAAGGTCAAGTGTCATAGACATTTTGTTTTAAAAAGCCATCTATGGTCTATATCCTGTGACATTCTTATGCGGAACTTTTAATGAAAGGCCTAAAAAAGAGAAAGAAATCATGATGGAGAAGTCTCACAGCATCACTGACAAAAACTAGTTCTCTTATTACATATACGACAGTTCAATTTTTAAGCGTTGGTAGGGAAGATCTTTTAGTTCCGCTTAAGCTCAAATCTGAGCTTTATTACGGAGGCGCTAGGTCCACCTTAGCCTCATATTTCGGTGGATGAGCGTGTGTAACATAGTATATATCCGCCACGTTGGAGAAAGATGACGGATTTTGCGCACCGCATGGCCTAAAGTATAATTTAGGGACCTTTACAAAAGGAATTCTCGTAAACGCGTAGATTCATCTGCTGAAAGGGATATGTAATTAGAGAAGCTATGTATGTACGTATCTCACTGCGATAAGTTTACATTGATGATGCTTTGAATTTCTCGACTAACACTCGTGATACCGTTTTGAATGAAGACCTTCTATTTCCGGGTAACATTTATGTAATATTCATTCCCTTTCAATAAAAGCTAGTAAAAATAAACACAAAGGAAGTAGGAAACTGAAATGCTTTTCTAGATTTCATATCAAGCGTCCCGTCCCAAAGATTCGGCGTGTTCTGTGCGCGTAACACGCAAATGGAGCTCGGAAGCATTGATTTCTAAAGTAAAACGTTAATCCATCGATTCACCGCAGCCCTCACACTCGAAACACCCCAAAACACCAACCCTACAACATTGTAATCCGTAAAATCGTGACCAAGTAACTGCACCGAAAAAAAATCAATTCAGCCCCGATCATCGAATGATTACAAACGATTTTACTTAATGAATAACGTTTTAGATGCACGAATTTGTCTATTGCGAGACTTGATACATTTATTTATTCGTTTTATGTATTTTACTCTATTAAAAATTACATTGGTTTTATTTGAGACGTGTTTGGGCGCGGTACGCGCTAACCGCGCGGCGGTCTCTGGTGTACTAAGGTTCTTGTCGTAGCGACGGGTTTATTATTCAAATAATTCTAGTATTTCAAAGTGATCGAAAGCTAAAATTTCCTAGATTTTTAATACGACTTTATTAGCTTGTCCTGGATTTATCGATTATCTGTGTGCAACGAATTATTTCAGTGAATAATAATTTTCAACAAATTCTAGATATCCGAATATCGGATCCGTAATTGGAATAATTTTACAATAGGTCGTGGCTTGCCTCTGCCCCTGGCTTTGCTTTTGTATTTTTAACCAAGTTTTTTAATACATTATACTACAGAGAGATGTATTAAGTGTCATTCGTTGTTAATAATTATATTATGTGTTTTTTTCTTTTCTTGAATCTTGAGGGTAGAAACTAGTGGAGGATCCATTTAATGAAAAGCGAGCCAGCCCCGGTCCATTTGATAGTAGCCGCTCAGACCATGATATGAGACTATTTAAAAAACTCAGAAGACTTCAATGTTTGGTAATGACGCATTTTAGAAACAGTTTTGGTATATTCATAATAACGAATTTCATTATATTTTTCTTTGAAACAATGCTTACGAAAAATATTATTGTTAATGTTGAACCGATACGTATTGATATAAGAGATGTTAAATGAGAAAAAATAATTTATAATTTAAAAAAGAGTAGTAATGTTTATGGTAAAATCGTTTGCATTTTATGGTAACACTGATACTACGCCGCCCTGCGTAGCCCCGCCCGCTACGTTCCTACGCTATAGATACATGGTATGTAAGAACTTGTTTTCATTATAATTATGCCCGGGGTGGGGTAACGACCTACACAATGTCAACGCTAATTACAAGGGAGTTTTTATGATTTAGAATAATTTTGTATTTATGGGGAAAACTTTCGATTTAAGTCTATGTAAGACCTAAAAGGGTCTCCGAAAGCTTAATCGATGTTTAAATAAATGTTTGGTTATGATAGGCAAAGCTGGAGTTTGTATTTCAAAGTGGACAATAGTTTGGATATATATATACAATTATTTTTTTATTGCTTAGATGTGTGGACGAGCTCACAGCCCACCTGGTGTTAAGTGGCTACTGGAGCCCATAGACATCTACAGCGTAAATGCGCCACCCACCTTGAGATATAAGTTCTAAGATCTCAGTATAATTTGAAACGTAACTGCTTACCTCAATACAAGCCTCAATGTCTGCACTGTTTTACATATAAATACGATTCTCCGAGCCTCAAAATCAGACTGTATACACTTCGCGGCAGAAATATGACAATAACCAATATTTTTTTCCCCTACCTACGCTGATGGTCTAGAGAGACCATATCAGCATCAACGGGCTAGGAGGTGAACTCACGGGTCTCAAACATGACGATGTTATTAACACGTACTCTAGCAAGAGCCGTGCTTCGCAGAATCTACAACCGGATCTAAAACGCGACCCACTGAGAAGATCCGGCGAGAAACTCAGTGGGCTGTGTCTATGGGTTAATTTACTTGCCGAGCCCTTCGTCGCAAGCGACGGGTTCGACGAGAACGATGACCGGTGCTTCGGGTACCTAAAAGCACAGTTAGTGGATCGGGGTAATCTGAAATGATGTGTACCAGCCAAAACGGAACACATCATTAGAGAGTGCCATTAAAATCGAATTCTCAATAGATACAAGTAAGTTATACTCCAATATCCATGCGTGAGGTCAAAACAAAAAGTTCATTTATTATATTATGATAACTAGCGACCCGCCCTCACTTCGCTTCGAAAACTGTAATTTATTATTGATTTCTCCACTATTTAATGGATGTTATTATACATATAAACCTTCCTCTTCAATCACTCTATCTATTAAAAAAACCGCATCAAAATCCGTTGCGTAGTTTTAAGGATTTAAGCATACATAGGGATATAGGGACAGAGAAAGCGACTTTGTTTTACACTATGTAGTGATTCGCTCCTTTGTAAAACAAAGTTTTTTTTTTTGTCTGTTTCTGCCCGCACTAATCTACAAAACGAAGTGCGGGGCAGCCGTTGTAACTATACTGAGACCTCAGAACTTATGTCTCAAGGTGGGTGGCGCATTTACGTTGTAGATGTCTATGGGCTCCAGTAATCACTTAACACCAGGTGGGCTGGGAGCTGGCCCACCCATCTAAGCAATAATAAAAAAAACTTTGTCTCTACACTTTTAACATTTCGAAGATTATATCGAATGAAATAAATAATACGCCTTGTGTTAATAGCCCATCGAGGTCACTAACAAAGGCTGGCGCAAAAAAACGGTCGAAATACAATGAAGAAAAACCTGAGTAAATCAAATATTAACACACTTAAACGATATATCCATTTGCAATTGTTTGCGTTATCGTGTTCGGCGCATTCTATTGTCGAAATATTAATTAAATTTCACTACAACTCATAACCGACTTAGCTACGGCTGAGTTTAGAACCTAAATCCAATCTCATTTGAACTAGATCAATCGTAGACGTTGGCAAACAAAGCGAGTTCACAGAGCAGTTAGAAACAGTGAGTTAGTTATGTGCGAGCAGGGTTCATTGTTTTATTACGGAACATTTTGGTGAATTTGACTTTTTGTCAGGAGCTACTCTGCTAGTCTTAATTTAAGTTATTAAGTTGGGCGATGTCATAAGTTGGACAATGAAAGATGTTGTCGCTTTGTTTGTCTTGTGACTGTGATTAGAGGTACTTGAGGTCAGTGTGATAAAAATGTTTCCTGTGTGCTTATTCAGGTTTTCTAGGTGCGTTTCGGCCACTGATTTTTTTTTTTATCAAGGAAGAGTTATTGGTAGCCCGAAGGACTTTCCAGTTTCAGCAGGACAGGTGGGTGAGCAAAGACTCAGCCAGGTAGGATAAAATTTGCTTTTTTTTTTCTACCTATGCTGATAGCCTTGAGAGGCTATATCAGCGTCGCCTTAACTAGTAGGTGAGCTCACGGGGCTCAAACCTGATGACGTTGCTAACACGAACCCTAGCAAGAGCCGTGCTTCGCAGAATCTACCACCGGATCGGAAAGGCGACCCACTGAGAAGACCCGGCGAAAAACTCAGTGGGCTGTGTCTGAGGGTTAATTTACGTCGAGCCCTTCGTCTCAGGCGACGGGTTTGACGAGAACGATGACCGGTGCTTGATGAAAAGCACCGTTAGTGGATCGGGAGGATCCGAAATGACGTGTGAGATTTGCTAACAGCTGCCCGAGCGTCTCAAAAAGAGACCTAAAAACTCTTAAGCAACTGCTTCGCGAACGTTTCTACTACAGGATCGGAATCGCGACCCGCTGAGATGATCCGGAGAGAAACTTAGCGGGCTGATGTATGGGTTCTATTGCACGTCCACCACTCGTAGTAAAGTATGAAATCGGGCTGTTGGAAATGGTTTTTTAAATCTGAGACAGCTGACAAATAATAGTCATATATTCACACAAGCGGCCTTCAGTTTTGCTCTCTTACACATGTCTGTGTGTGAATTCATGTGTGCGTCACTTGAGTTTTTTTTAACTTCTCGATCGCGTAAAAGTTAACACAAATTTGTATGGAGTTGGAATAGTTTCGCTAGAGCTGTTCCAACTCCATACAAATTTCAGACAACTTTTACGCATTAAGCATACACAGCTCTCTTCCACCCACTACCGGCCTGCTTGCTTTATGGTCTATGGTCTATCTCTATGATGTAGAGATACGCACACTACACTGATCATCTTTTTACCCGACCGTCGAAGGAGGGTAATGTTTTTGAGCGTATGTAAAATTGCAAAATATGACACAGAGTATATTATTATAAAATTAATAAATATGTAGTTACGCAAATTGTAAGAATAATTTGGAATGTATCAAAAATTTGACTTTTTTTTTATTGCCCTTGTAGGCAGACGAGAATACGGCCCACCTGATGGTGAGTGGTTACCGTCGTCCATGGACTTCAGCAATGCCAGGGGCAGAGCCAAGCCGCTGCCTACAGAAGGAAACCGCTACTGCGGAAAAATGAAATATTAGAGATCAAGAAGATATTGTATAACATTAATATTAGTAAATGTACTGCAGACGGCGGTCAAGCAAAGTAAAGACACAGATCTGTGTAGTTTAAGGGGCACGAGTGTAATAACGGAATATCATTTGAATTTTTACTACTACTTATTTGGTTGCCGTCAGGGGCGCTGTTGCAACTCCATACAAATTGGAACAGCTTCCATTCGTAGTTTGAGACGCTTATAAAACCGAATTAGTACTTAAATTTCCATGTACCGTGCACAAATTAGATTGTATTTTTTTGCTATGAATATGCCAATAATTTTAATACTTAAAAATAGCTTCCTATGCTACACATATTATGGTATTCACGAATCCTTAAGAACTAAATTATTACGTGGCATCAGAGCTCATGTTGTGCTACAATTTCTCAGAGTAAAATTTAGTTACTTGAGAAGTGTATATAAGTGATGAAGAATTTGTATGGAGTTGGAATAACTTCCCTTCGTTTGCCGCTAGGGGCACTGTTCCGGGTGATGGAAGGCCGGCTATCCTCGACCCACGCTGGTTCTGACCCAGCGGGGTATTTCGTAGGATAACCTATTCAAACCGGCGCCATCTAGGCGGGCTTCGGACAGCCTGCCGACCGAGAGGGCTGGTGGTCGTGGCGCCGACGATCGCTGGCCCGGCGTCCCGAGGGGGAGGGTGATGGGAGAGATGTGCTCCGCACTAAACGCTTCACTCTCCTCCCCTTGCCTTTTCATGAGTTCTGTCTCATG